AAAAAAAAAAAAAAAAAAAAAAGGAAAGAAAGAAAGAGAATAGATGGAAAGGAAAAGATTGATAATACAAGATTGGGTTCAGTGAAAATGACAATTGAAAAACATTTGATTATGTATATATATATATATATGTAAAATATCTATATATATGTAAAACATCTATCTATATATAGTTGTTTTGTTGTTTTTTTTGAGACAGAGTCTTGTTCTGTCACCCAGTGGAACAATGTTGACTCACTGCAGCCTCCACCTTCTGGGTTTAGCCTCCCGAGTAGCTGGGATTATAGGCGTACACCACCATGCCCGGCTATTTTTTGTATTTTTTAGTAGAGAGGGGGTTTTGTCATGTTGGCCAGGCTGGTCTTGAACTCCTGACCCCAGGGGATCCTCCCACCTTGACCTCCTGAAGTGCTGGGATTATAGGCATGAGCCACTACATCTGGCCATTAGGATCTTTCACTATGTAAATTAGCCTAAAACAATGTAATCTGTTTGATCTCACCATCTTCATTCCATTTGTTAGGGTACACACTCTTACACTGTGCTGCAGCCTGGGGTCGTTTGGAAACTTTGAAAGCACTAGTAGAACTGGATGTTGATATAGAAGCTTTGAACTTCCGGGAAGAAAGGGCTCGAGATGTTGCTGCTAAATATTCCCAGACTGAGTGTGTTGAATTCCTGGACTGGGCAGGTAAGGAAGCTCACAAGGGTTAGCAAACTGACTGATGTGATGAGTTTTTCTCCTATGAGTTATAGGCTATGTCACCTTTTTTCACAGTGTTTTATTTGTAGATACAACCATAGTCACAGTTGGCAATAATAAATGAAAATTTTCCCTTTTTCTTTATTTTGCTATTGGCCCTAAACATTGTATTTATTGGGAACTGTACATATTGGAAGCTTGTTGATTTACCAACTTCTGTCTCACCAATAATTTTCTCGCCAATAATTTCTATAAGAAATTTCTCACCAATAATTTTCTGTGAGAAAATAATTTCTATAAGAAGATTATTGAATGTTCAATATATATGTTCAAAGCCATTTTCTGAGAGACTCAGGCAAAGTGGATTGTTCCTTAAATGTTTAAAAAAATGGCATAATTTGAGTAATATATTTGATTTCTCAAATATAAAAAGGTTATAACAATAATTTTAGAAAGATTTATTTAGGATAAATTAATTTGTAGTGCTAATAGTCAGAATAATAGCTACCCTTAGGCATGGGGAAACTTCTGGGATGTAATGTTCTTTTTCTTAACCTGGTTGCTGGTACATGGGTATGTTTCTTTGAAAATTCATTAAGCTGTACACATAATTTTTGCACTTTTCTGTTTGTAAGTTATACTTCAATAAAAAGTTCAAAAAACAGTACTATTTTGACTTTTGCTAATATTTTACACATATACTTCCCACAGCCCTATAAAATATAGCTTAAAGAGATTTCAGGAAGATGTACTTTTGTACAAGCATTTATTGAATTCCCATTGTGAACATAGTATTGCTGTAGATACAATTGGTTGTTCCTGCCCTCTGGATACTTGGTTAGGTGGGAGATGATAAGTTATGGACACATTCAACAATTATATAAAAATATTGGAAAGACTGTGATTAAAGGTTAAAATTGGCAGAACAGGTATTCTGTGCTACAGGGTAGTGAAAGAATAGGAAGTCAGAGCATGTTGGGCTTGAGCTGGGCCTTGAAGAATGGATGGGATTTGAATATGCAATAGAAGGGGAAAGGGCATGAGCAAAATGTTAGAGCTGTGAGTGAAAGTGGTGTGCTGGAGGACAGTGACAAGATTGTCTTATTGAGCAAGTGATCATAGTTTCCACAGGTAGGCTATAACATAAGTAGAATAACAAAGGGGCTGAGTACATGTCCTCTTGAGATTGAGTTTAAATACTGGTGCCCCTACTTGAAATCTCTGTGACCTTGGTGCTTGAATTATGATAAGGTGCTTACATTCTCTATACCTCAGTTTCTTTCTCTGTAAAAGGGGCCAAAATATAATTCCTACTTTTTAGGGATTGCTGTGAAAAGTAAATGAGATGATATAAAGCAGTTAGCACAATACCTGGCATGTGGTCAGCACTTGAACAATGCTACTGCCTTTATTACATCTTACCCTTAAATGCCAGGCTAAGGTATTTTTATGTTATTCTGGGAGCCATGGAAAGTTTTTATGTACAAGAGGAGGAGGATGAAAGTGATCTTGAGGAAGATTCAGCTGGTAGTGGTTAGGTGCATGTTCATCAATAAAATGAGAAAGGGACTAGAAGAATTGATAGAAATGAGGAAATTAAAGGAAGGAAACACATTTGGGAAGAAAGAGATGGGTTGTGCTTTGTAGTTTATTTTTATACTGTCCACTTGAACTAAATGTTTTCTATGAGCAATCATATGTCAAATCTTCTGTTTTTATGATTAGATCTGTAAGTAAAGGAAAACACAAATAGCAAACAATTCAATTGACTCCTCCCATGATTAGTAATTTTAGATGAAATTCACATTCCATATATATGTATATGTACACACACACACACACACACACACACATATATATATATATATTTTTTTTTTGAGACAGAGTTTTGTTCTTGTTGCCCAGGCTGGAGTGCAATGGCGTGATCTTGACTCACTGCAACCTGCGTCTCCCAGTCTCAAGCGATTCTCTTGCCTCAGCCTCCCAAGTAGCTGGGGTGACAGGCATATGCCTGGCTACTTTTGTATTTTTAGTAGGGATAGGGCTTCACCATATTGGTCAGGCTGGTCTCGAACTCCTGACCTCATGATCTGCCCTTCTCGGTCTCCCAAAGTGCTGGGATTACAGTCGTGAGCCACCATGCCCAGCCCACATTCCATAATTTAAAATCCATTTTTGAAAAATGGCCCATAGTATTAAAAAAATTTTTTTTTATTATACTTTAAGTTCTGGGGTATATGTGCAGAATGTGCAGTTTGTTACATAGATATACACTTGCCATGGTGGTTTGCTGCATCCATCCCCCCGTCATCTACATTAGGCATGTCTCCTAATGTTATCCTTCCCCAATCCCCCCACCCCTAGTCTCCCCACCCCTCCCCCAACAGGCCCCATTGTGTGATGTTCCCCTCCCTGTGTCTATGTGTTCTCATTGTTCAACACCCACTTATGAGTGAGGACATGTGGTGTTTGATTTTCTGTTCTTGTGTCAGTTTGCTGAGAATGATGGTTTCCAGCTTCATCCATGTCTCTGCAAAGGACATGAACTCATCCTTTTTATGGCTGCATAGTATTCCATGGTGTATATGTGCCACATAGTATTTAAAAATCACAATTCAAGGACAAATTTTGCAATAACTTTTCTGAAAAAATTTTTGGGGCTTATGGGTGTGAGGTATTATTGGTTTCCTTTCCTGTAATATCCATCTGTTTAATTTGGGTCCTTAGGTTCTTGGAGAAATTATACCTTATATGTCTTATTGGTGAAAAGATATGAAAACTATAAAAAGCAAACTAGTATTATGTTTCCAGATCAATGATGAAATTAATACTGGAGTTACATAGTAATACAGCTGTTTAATGTCAGAAACATAAATAACTTGACATAAAATTTAACATTTATTTAATTCAGCCTTACTATTTGTTTAATTCAGTCATATTCAGAATGCGGTTTCATAGTAATGTAGCTGTGGAATGTCAGAAACATAAATAACTCAACATAAAATTTAACATTTATTTAATTCCATCTTATCAAGAGTGTACATCACGTCTATTTCTTCTAGCAATTAGAGTAGGAGTTACCTGGGGAGACTTAAAGGATTGAGAAACCCCTACCCCAAAGAGTCATCTCCATTCTACTGAAAATTCCATTATTAGAGATAAATTTCTTTGGGTTTTAGAGGTTTGGGGATTTTTAAAGTCTTCAATAGTTCACCATTAAAATAAATATATATTAATGTTCTCTCAGAGGGAATTATCTAACTTTTCAGAACTCTGAAGGTATGAAACAAGCATAGAAATGTGAGGGTGGGTTGTGCTAAGGAGGAATGGAGGTTAAGAGAGTCTGGAAAGTGGAACAAAATAAACCTTTATAATCCATCATAGCCCAAGGCAAGTACTATTCTTTTCCACTGCTTATAAAACTGTACGGTTTATTACTGTTTCAAGGATTATTTTTGAAAAGTTTTTTTCCTCTCTTATAATGATGGCAGATATGTTATAGATATATTTTTCTGGGATTTTTCCAAGATATTTTAAGTGAAATCTTCTGTCCCAGTCTCAGGCCTATCTCCTAGTTGTTCTTTGAAAAATATGGTAACCACAGTTTAAAAAATTGAATTGTCTTATCAACAAAAGTCTGAAATTTAAAAAATGCTAATCTATAATTCATTTATTATACCGAAAATGAAAACATTTATCCTTAAAAATATTAATCTATTCTTTAATATTTCCATGCTATTTTAGCAATCTGAAGTAGGAAATTAGAAGTCTTCCTGTGGTTATGAAATTTTCTCAGGAAAATAAGACATATCACAGATATTATTTATTAGAGATTTATTGAAACACTAAATTAAGCTACTATTACATATATTGCTTAATGATTAGTAACCTAATACATTAAAAAGAACAAAATGCTTAAACATGTAGCAGTGATAGTATGTAACTTCTTCTCTAGTATAAGCCTGGGTTCTTTTTTAATTGAATGGAAATAGCATTTAAACCCAGACTTCTTTGGAAAATGTCAATAAGGATTGTGGCAAAAAATTTATGAAGGTTTCCAAAGAACCATTTTTGTCCTTAGATGATCCTCTCAATAGATTTCTTTTGTAGTCTCTATATTTGACTAAGCTGCATTTGCATATGCATATATTTAGTATCTTTTGGCTCCTTCTTTAGTCTTCTTCTTTTTCTTTAATTTGCAGTGCTTAATTTTATTAGAGGAAGGATGGTAAGACTTGTGCTCCAAGATCTTCGATATCATTGACGTTGCGGTCGCCAGTCTGTAGAGTATTTGGTCAATGTCTTGGATGGATGGGCTTTCTAGATCATTACCAGATTTTTCTGAGGATGATTGGTTTTTCAGCTAAAAGGAGAAAAACAATATAGATTTTGTCTACATAAAATAGTATAGTTCAATACTATAGTATAGTTAATAATATGGTTCAAATTAAATTTGTGTTCTAAATGTATAAACTTAAACTTTATGAAAACAGCACACATCAATTGTTTATGCAAAAGGATGGTCACTATAGAAGAAAGGTGTAAGTGCAGAAGAAATGTTATCTATATGCCACATATATGATCATTATCACCATCAGCAAACAGTGTGTTCCATGGTTAGGGTACTTTGCTGGGAGAAATTATTTGATTAGCAAAATATATTCCTTTACTAAAGAACCTGAAGGTATAATACCATAAAGTCACAGTCATTTTAAAAATAAGAAAACATTTATAAATATCTAATTGTTCTGAAGGTCAGTGAGGTTTTGTTTGTTTGTTTGATCAATGAGCTTTTAAGATTGTCTCTCAAACTATGGTGTCATCAATTGGTGAAGTGGGAAATTATATAATAGTTTAAAAGCTCTATTTCCCAGAAAATTGTTCTAATATTAGAAATTAGGTTATAACCCATATAAAAACTACATGTCAAACCTTTGTACTTAGATTTCTTAGATACACCTGGAAGGGTTCTAAGAGATCTCTTGTTC